GCAACCCACTGTGCTGGCAATCCTGCTTCTCAATCATGGGAAGCCCACTTGGCCAAGGCTCTCCAAGTAGGCACCACTCTGAACTCGGGGAAGCGTGCTCAGAATGAAGAGTTTGGTGACCCAGTCATTGCAGTTGAGAAGGTGCATGAGATTGCTTCGTGTGACCAAGTGCCTGAGGCAACCCACTGTGCTGGCAATACTTTTTTTGACCAAGATTCTCAATGGGAAGACGACAAGCTCAGTGCAAGTGAACATCGCTTTCTCAGGAAGATGGACCAGATCACATCATGCAAACACGTCAACATCGTCGACACGATGGAGACAATGCCGATGATGTGTGATGTAACAAGCTCTATGGCTGATGTGAGGGAACCTTCCACAGTGCATGAGATCTCGGATGATGAGAGCACAGCACAGTTGTTGCGGGCAAAGACTTTGAAATTGGGAGAGACGGAGGAAGGCTCTCAAGCTGTTGAAGTGGTCACTGTAGCTAAGCAGGCCACCCCACAGCGATGGGTTCCTGCACAAGAAGAAGACCTTTCTCTTCCAGCTCAACTTGGTCCTCTTTATGCTGGAGTGGAGGCGGGGCTCAGCTATGTAAATAACTGTCTTGCATTGCTTTTTGAATCATTGAAGAGTTTGCTTCAGCAACGCGGTCCATCATACCAGACACCCGTATTAGTCGTCAATCGATTCAGGTGAGTCATGTTCCTGAACGAGAGATCCGATCTATCTCACCTGTAGCTTGGCCGCAGGCTCTAAGCAACCACTTGTTGCGAGTTCCTTCAATGGGTGCGTTACCCCATTTTCGCCTGACACCACAGGAGCGTTATGAGCAGCTGCGCAAGTCACACGAAGATAAGCCTGACCCCTTGGCAGCCAACCCTCGGTGCATCAAGGTCATCACAACCGTTGACCGGAACAAGGACGACCATGGCATGGCTTTGCTTGAAGATGTGGGCACCATGGTGGAAGCTGAAGAACCCCCTCCGTACGCTGAGCAGGGGAAGCCTCGCGGTCGGAAACCCGGCTCAGGCTCCAAGAAGGGTTCTGCGAAGAAGCCCAACCAAAAGAAGACCAAGAAGACCAAATCGCCCAAAAATTGCGATGGTCAGGAGCCAGAGGAGTCTGAGGAAGCAAAAGATTTGGAGGCCGCTTCCTCGCACAAAGTGCAAGCCAGGAAGTCAAGAAAACCTCGGGCCAAACCAGGTGCCAAGAAGCGTCAGGCAAAGAAGGATGCCGGTTCCGAGGGCGCTGACTTGGAGGCACTGGACGTGGCTGAGGACACTGAAGGAGTGTCAGAGCCTACTTCCACAGTCAATCC